GGTCCAAGGCGAAAATGCCACCGCGGATGTGTCCTCTTTGGACAAGTTCCTGGAGGAGATTGTGGGTGGTTCTGCTAAGGACGACGTGGAAACGCCCGTCAATTGCCTGAACGAGGTCGCCGAAAAAATGCAGGAGGAGGTGATTCCGGAACTGACCGCTGCGGAAGCGAGCCCGGTCTCTATGTGCGCGACCGAGGACGTGGAAGAAGAAGCGCGACAGGTGGATGAAGCAATTCCACACGAGGAGGCAAGCGTGACTGAGGAGCCGGCAGCAATCGAACAAACCGAAGAGGGGCTGGAGAATGAGATTTCTCTCAGTGCGGCTCTTACAACCGACAAAGTCGACGAAATCGAAACTCTCCCCGCCACAGCTCTTTTGGCCGAGGAGCGAGCAAGTGAGAGTGTTGAAGAACCGGAGGCAAGCGAGATGGTAGACGAAATGGAAACTCCACCCGCTCCAACACTTGTCGAAAAGGGAGACGAAACCGACATTCCGTCCATCACAGCTCTCCCCGTCGAGGTCGAGAGTGAACCTGCGAGCAGAGAGGAGAGTGATATAGCTGAAAGCAGATCGACAAGAGATAAAACTCCACCGCTTGCGGTGGATGAGCCTACGCCGGTTCTGAATGTTGATAGAAAGAGGTGGAGGATGCATAAAATCGAAAGTGGGAGACGATCAAAGAGAGAAGCAGTGGAAAAACGCGAGAGGAGGTTGAAGAGGTATAAAACACAAATCCGAGCCGAGACAATCAGAGGTGTTGAGAAGAGGTGTAAGCGAGACAAAATCGACATACCACTCGAGAGAGCTGTGGCCGAAATCTCGGTGGAGGAGACGGTTCAAAGTGAAAACAATGATAGCTCTAGGGGAGACAACGTCGCGATTCTGTCAGAGGAGGCGAGTTTGGGGGATTTGACCGAAATCCCGCCGAATACTGTGGAGGAGACGGAGGGGAAAATTGAAAAAAATGACAGGAGCTGGAAAAGAAAATCTACCGATGAGGAGGCGACCGCTTTACCTGAAATTCCGCCGAATGCAGAAGAAGAGGCCGACAAAAATGAGGCGACGGCCCAAAACGAAAGGATATCGAAGGAGGATCCACCGGAAATCCCTTTGAACGTTGTAGAGGAGACGGTTCTGGATGTAGAGAGGAAGTGGGAGATGGATAAAACCGAAACTCCGCCCTCTGCAGAATGTACGATTGAAGAACCGACAGCACCTGCTGCAGCGGGTACGATTGAGGAACCGACAGCATCCGCTGCTGTTGAAGAAAGCGAACTGAAGCGAAAGAAAGATAGGAAGAAGGACAGAAGAGAGAGAACGAAGAAGAAAAAGCACCTCGAGGATCCGCCTCATTTTGTGGATCAAAAATGCGAAGAAAGCGTGGTCAATATCGAAGAGCCTCGATCGGAAGTGGTGGAAGATCTCCCTGTGGCTATCGAAGACTCAGAAGAGATGCCGGTGTTGGAGAAGGCCACTTACGATGAAAGCGAAGCGAATATTGTGTACCACATAAATGATTCCAACGTTGTCTTGCAAATTGCGGATGAGCTTCTGGAAATTAATGTTACAGTGCAGAATGGAAAGAAGCTCATTTTGGTGAAGACCTTTTCCGATGCCGTAATAATGAATAATACGGACAGCTGTCCGATCTTGGAGGACCAGACTACTGTAGTTCAAACGAAGCCCCCTCCCGTTGAGCATCCAGTTCTCGACAACTACGCAAACGTCACCGTGGATAATGTAGAGATGTACGTCAAGGAGATCTGCGAAGGACCCGACATTCCCATCGAGAACGAAGTATGCGTGTTCAACGAGGAGGTCGTGTCGAGCTCTACGGAAGCGGGGTCCTTGCCGAAAGCGGCGACGGAACAGGCTCCCGCGCCGACTGCTCCCGAAGAAAAAAAGGTCGAAAAGAAGAAGAGTCCGAAAAAAAAAACTGTAACATGGCTAGATCAAGCCGAGCCGAAGAGGTGCCTTGATACCAAACCAACTTTCCCCAAAACTCCCAAAACGAAAGCTGCCTTGAAACTAATCGAACCACACCAAACGAAAATGAAAGATCACTGCGTGCCTTCCAAGACGAAAAGCTCGATCGCCGAAAAGATCGCCAAGCTCAAAAAGCCGCCGAGGCTCGACGGCAACAAGCCGACGAAGCAGCAGAAGGCGGAGAAGCCAAAGAAGAACGAATCTCACCCGCGAAGCATTCCGAAACCGAAGGAGAGGACGAAACCGAAGAAGCCGATCGCGGATCCTAGGAAAGCGAAATTTTTTAGTCGACAAGCCCCAGTTAACATCGACTCCCTGTACAGGATGAGCATCGAGCCCGAGAATTTGGCAAAGATTCAGAAGGAGCCCGAGGTGGTCAAGGCGAAAATCGACGTGGAGGAGCCTCAACCGCCTTTAATCAGCGTGCAGGAGAACAGCATAACGTCGTCCACTTGCCAGGAGACGGAGGCCACGCAGAGGGAGCGCGCCAACAAATTGATTCAGCAAATTAACGACGATTGGGAGGACGAGGAGGACGGCGGTAAAATCGTCGAGTCTAACACGCGCAGATTGAGCTTGCAGGAGTACAACGACCGAAAACGCACGGGCTCGCTGACTGAGCCCGAGCGGTGCAGCTTCGCCGGCCCCGACCTTACGAGTAATTTACTGGGGAACGTCGCGGGTATACGGCGCAAGGTCTCGCCGAAATCGCCCGAGCTCAGCGTCAAATTCATCAATAAGACCTATTCGCGAACTTCGTCCTTCGAAAGTGGCAGTCCCCCTCACAAGACGGAGGAGTCGTTGTCGAGCAGTATCGAGCTGCAGCTGCCGAAACGCAACCGGGTACTGCCGACGCCGAACTACAACCAGGAATACCTGAAGAAGGCGCTGATGAACGACCTGCACACCGTAAACCAGATCACCGCCACCTTAATTCGGGAAAACCAGGAGTTGATGCGTCGATTTCTCGAGCAGCAGCGACTGACGGCGGGCGAGTTGAAAAAGGTGAAGCAGATCATACGCTATAAACGCCTAGTTCAGCATTTGACGACGATGAGGGTTAAGGAGGTGGAGCCGAATAATAACGTGATCCGACGGGAATCTCCCGTCAGCACCGGCGAGAGGCGCCGAAAGAGGCGGTTTCGATTTTTATACTCGGACGACGAGTACGAGGGCGACTCGTCGAACAGTTCCCCTCTTATAGTGAACGATACTTGCCTTAAACGAGCGCGCGTCGAAAATTTAGTGCCTGACTATTCGGTGCATCAAAGCAATTCACAGGGTCAGCTAACCTTAGTCTTTAAAAGGAACGTTAAAAGTGATCCGAGAATGCAACCCTTTGTTAAACTCGAACGTTTACCTAGTCTCGATAGGCTAGCGCTTAATCTATAAGTGTTATGTTTATTATGAATAACGGGACCAAAGTTACTTTAGCGCTAATATTTTTTTAGTCATCGGAGGGTCCTTCTCCGATTAGTTAATTTTGTTATACGATGCAAAGTTTATACCAAAAGGTGCGAGTCGAAATCAATGCAGAAAGTAGCCCCCCCTCACCCTTTACTGATCTCGCACGCGAGTGTAACAATCTTCATCAAATATTAGAGAAGCCGAATCTTGTCTTGGTGATCGCATACGATGGTCAAAGGAGGAATTTCTGAAAACTGATCATTTTCTAGTCATCTGTTACCAATCGCCGGCTGCTTTCTGCAGTCCAATTTCGACTTGTCTGTAAATTTAACTGATTCATATGGACTTGATTGTTAAGTTTGTTATAATTTTATAAAAGAGAAACTGTTACAGGTAGATTTTGTTTAAACATTCTCATTTCATGTTCCTACGAGATATTTGAAAAAATTGTATTAGGTAATTTTTGTTGAATTTGAACGCAATGGATGGTATAATTTATTTGCTCAGTTATATCACGTTGTTGTACATAATATTTAGTACAAAAGTTGTTGGGCCAGTGTAACGTTCCAATTTAAAGTAGAGACGATGTTAAAGATGTGTATGTAGTTTATGTATCGATATCTATATCAAAAGTTAGTTCTATCTCAAATCTCATATTCTTTATAGTAATTTATTGATATTTTGGAACTGTCTTTAATGTTACGATTGAAATAAAATTGCACCGAGTGTGCTTTAGATGTTAAATGTAGCTCATTTTGCAGTATTAAAATTAAAAGTGGCCTTTAATGTTTTGCGTGTGTGTGTGTGTTAATTATGTACTATCAAGAAACCGAAACAAGAGAAAGCACACAGTTCTCCAAAGCGCATGAATTTCCAAAGTTGTAAATAAAAAGAAAAATTCCATATCTAAGGTTGTGAACCTACGGACGATTTAAATTATAGTCCCATAAATATAATATTGTATATTTTGTAGTGGTATACAAACAAAAAACTATTGCAAGCAACTTTTGTACAGTTGACCGTTCGGTGAACGGTTCGCCTTTACAGATACTGTTGTAAACTTGTATTTGTTCGCGGTCAAATTCCGACAGAAATTTTCGATAGAAGATACTAAATTTTGGGTGCCTTGTCTGGTTTGGCCGACGAATAATAATTAGCACGTGTGTTAATAAAGAATGAAAGCTTTTTTGTGTGTGAAACATCTTTCCTAGGCCAATTCGTACTTACCCCTAACCAACAAAAGTAATTTTGGAAATGTTCAAAAAATGGTGAAATGTAGGAAAAAAACGTTACCGACGAGAGTTTATTATTTTTAAATGTAGAATAAGAATTTCAATAAAAAGTATTCCATAGGTGGGACGAATATTTTACATTTTTTTATATCCCCGTTAGTTTCTACAGTAATGGACTGTCTTAAACATAAATGGGACACTCTGTATAATAAATTATGTGACATTGAAATATAAGATTGCGGAACTGTTACTCACAAAGTTTAACGCAACTCGCAAATTTCTTAGATAATGAATCATGTTAGTACCTTTAAACAACCAATTTAAAAAAAATGTATTATAATTACATCAATAACATTAATTTAGATATCCTACATCAAAATAAAACCTTGAAGACAACACGAAATTAGCAATAATTGCTGCAGAAATTCTCCTAGAGACATTCATTTGAAGCTTTCCGTGAAAAAATTAAGTTACCCTACGCTTGACCTGAAAGGACAATTATGTGAAAATGTCCACAGGTAGGAAGAATACTTTACATAAATCATTTTCTGATACCGCCGTTAGTTTCTGCAATAATGCGACTGTCTCAAGATAAATCGGACACCCTGTATATAAATAAATTAAGTGCCATGGAAATATAAGATTGCGGAACTCCTAGTCGCAAAGCTTACCGCAACTCGCAAATGAAATTACCGCTCCGCTCCAATTTGTCGCGCTTGCGCAGGTGTAAGTAGGTAAATCCCAATAAATCGTCCCCTGAAACTGATATCGCTACTATTGCTTCAAAACTATCGCGTATATTATTGTAACGGAAATGCTCCAGACATGACGTCGCCTTTGGCGCTCTGGAATTTTCTACGCGCGCGATTATTCGAGAATGTACTAGACTTACATTGCTTGCGTGTATAAATGGTTGCGGACCAAACATCGCGGCAGTCTACTATCGAACGAGTACGGACGAAAACATTGAGCGCGAAAATCTGATATTAATTGCGAAGTGTGAGTGATATAAATAATCGATATAAATTGTACGGATTGTATAGTGTTTTAGTTCTGTTTAATAAATATTGATATAAATCGAACCCGAATTTATAAATAACGTTACATTGGTGTCAGAAGTGGGATTAATTAAATTAATTAAAAGTAAGATTAAATTAAGTGCTTGTGCTTGTGCTTGTGTATGCCTGTAACAAGATCTGCTGCCGCTAAAATGGAAGAAACGATGCTCAATTTGCTCCAGCAAATCCAAAATGGCCAACAGGGGTTGCAACAAGAAATGAAAAGCACCCAAGAAAATTCTAGAAATATTCAAGAGAAGTTGGAAGAAAATTCTAGAAATTTTGAAGAGAAGTTCGAGAAAATGGAAGAAAATTCTAGAAAGATTAATGAAGAAAATTCTAGAAATATTCAAGAGAAGTTCGAGAAGTTGGAAGAAAATTCTAGAAGGATTAATGAAGAAAATTCTTGAAATATTCAAGAGAAGTTCGAGAAGTTGGAAGAAAATTCTAGAAAGATTAATGAAGAAAATTATAGAAATATTCAAGAGAAGTTCGAGAAGTTGGAAGAAAATTCTAGAAGGATTAATGAAGAAAATTCTAGAAATATTGAAGAAAAGTTCGAGAAAATGGAAGAAAATTCTAGAAAGGTTAATGAAGAAAATTCTAGAAATATTCAAGAGAAGTTGGAAGAAAATTCTAGAAATTTTGAACAGAAGTTCGAGAAAATGGACGAGAAGTTCGAAAAGATGGAGGAAAATTCTAGAAAGATTATCGAAGAAGTCTCTAAATCAATTGAAGAAAAAGTTGAAGATAGAATTACGGAAGTTTCCAAAACATTTAAAGCAACATTCGTCGAGATTGAGCACAAGTATGAAGAGCTGCGCGAGCAAATCGTGCGACTGACTACGAAAGAGCGTACTAGTAGTGCCACAGAAACAAATACAAGAGTAGAAGGCGACGTTCAGCAAGCCCGAGTAAAGCCACCTACTTTTGATGGTAAGATTCCTTGGACCACGTACGTTCGACAGTTTGAAGCAGCGGCTGCGGCAAATAAATGGACTCTTCAAGACAAAACTACAGCCCTGATTCTTGCTCTGAGAGGAGATGCTCTGGATGTGTTGCGGACTATCTCCGAGGATCAACAGAACTTCCAACAAATAGTAGCGCGACTCGAAATGCGATATGGCGATAAACACCTTCAGCAAGTTTACTATGCCCAAGTCAAGAACTGAATGCAGAAACCTGGAGGAAGTTTGCAGGAACTTGAAGCGGACATCGCTAGACTGATTCGATTGGCATACCCTACGGCACCGGAGAGCTTTCTTGATCAACTGGCTGTACAAACATTTATCGATGCCGTTCGTGATGGAGATGCCCAGCAGGCTTTGAGACTGGCTAGGCACGACAAAATTGAGAAAGCTTTGGCCCATGCGTTATAATTCGAAGCCGCCAAGAAAGCTAGTCATGGAAGTGCGCGAGTACGTATGGTGGAACCTCGCAGTGAGAGCCGGGTAAGAACCATCGAAGAGGAAGGTGGCTCTGAAAGTTTTGAAGAAAAGGTCAGTAAAGTAGTGGAAGAAAAGGTCAATAATGCAATACAGTCACTGCCAAAGACCATTGCAGCAGTCGGAAAACTGGGAGGGGTCGACAGGAAGGGGCTATCGTCGACCTGCAGAAACAAAGCCCCGATCTTCACTGTAAACATTTCGTCGTCTGGAAAAGTTCTGAGTTTGTACATCGATGGCCGAGTTAATGGAGAAGACAGATCCTTGCTAGTAGACACAGGTGCAACAAGAACTATTGCAAGACCAGAGTTATTGAAGAATCATTCTCGGATCTCATCTTCGACCGTGCAGTTAAAAACAGCAACTGGTAAAAGAATAAAAACGCACGGAGAAATACAAATGTCTGTCACCATCGGAAAGACCACCATCAATCACCAGGTGCTAATTGCTGATATTTCTGATCAATTCATCTTGGGGGATGGATCTTCTTAAGAAACTCGGAGCTGTGTTAGACGTGAAAAAGGGCGTGTTAAAGGTCGGCGATGAAGAATTCCCTTTCCATGAAGACAAAGAAGATGTCATCCGCCTGTTAACCACTCATGACGTCATTATACCCGGACTTAGTGAAAAAATTATAATGACCACTTTAGATGGATGTTGTCGCCAGGGAAGCCTACGGATAGTCGAAGCACTAAACGAAAAGGAATTTCTAGTGGCTAGGGCTCTGGTAAAAGTTCAAAATGGCGTTCCGATTCGAATAATGAATTTGAAAGATAGTCCTGTTAAGCTAAGCAAACGAACTGCAGTTGGACAGTGTGTGCCCATCTCGGCTATTCGCTCTGTGAAATCGGAAAATCTATCTAAAGGAAAGTATCCAAGAGAGCTGATAGATATGGTCATTAAAAACACCCCAGATTTGGACAAAAGACAACGACAAAAGGTGAAAAATATGCTTGTGGAATTTCGGGATGTGTTCGCGGTAAACGACCAGGACAAGGGAAAGACAAGCATAGTCACCCATAAAATAAATACTGGAAATTCCCAACCGATTAGACAACAGCCAAGGCGACTCCCATTGGCTAAACGAGACGAAGCGGAAGAGATTATTAGAGACATGAGAAAACAAGGTGTCATCGAACCATCGAATAGTCCTTGGTCATCACCGATAGTGCTTGTAAAGAAGAAGGATGGCTCCACAAGATTTTGCGTTGACTACCGTCTGTTAAATTCGGTCACCAAGAAAGATAGCTATCCACTGCCAAGAATAGACGACACCTTGGACACTATCTGGAGGCCAATGGTTTTCCACACTCGATCTAAAGAGTGGTTATTGGCAAGTGGGGATGGAATCGACAGACCGAGAGAAGACCGCGTTTTCTATAGGCTCTGGACTTTGGCAATTCACAGTAATGCCTTTCGGATTGTGTAATGCCCCCGCGACGTTTGAGAGACTTATGGAAGCAGTTCTAAGGGGACTAACGTGGCAGACATGTCTGGTATATTTGGATGATGTAATTGTCGTAGGAAAAACTTTTGTACTAGACTTACATTGCTGGCGTGTATAAATGGTTGCGGACCGAACATCGCGGCAGTCTACTACCGATCGAGTACGGACGAAACATAGAGCGCGAAAAGCTGATATAAATTTCGAAGTGTGTGATATAAATAATCGATATAAATTGTACGGATTTTATAGTGTTTTAGTTTTGTTTAATAAATATTGATATAAATCGAACCAGAATTTTATAAATCACGTTACATTATGGTTCTATTCCGAATTCCGTGTCTGTGTTATGCTCGAACAAAAACGAAATGTACCCTTTCTTAAATGAATAATTCTAATAGTTCGCGATAGTCGATAATTTTATTATTGTAACGGGATATACCTCTTCAGAAATTTAAAAGAATGCGTAAACTATATTTAGGTACTTATAAATGTAATTGTGAGCGAAAGCGAATACCTATACAGTGCGTACATTTTAACTCTGAACATACAAAAAGCTACTGCACATAAAACTCATGTTCAATTCTAATTGATGAATTTTTGAAATGGCGAATGCATCACCCTTTCTTTAGCCTCATTTAATAGTTTTTTTTCTTTTTTAGATAATGAATCATGTTAGTACCTTTAAACAACTAATTTAAAAAAAATGTATTATAATTACATCAATAACATTAATCTAGATATCCTACATCAAAATAAAATCTTGAAGACAACACGAAATTAGCAATAATTGCTGCAGCAATTCTCCCAGAGGCATTCATTTCAAGCTTTCCGTGAAAAAATTAAGTTACCCTACGCTTGACCTGAAAGGACAATTATGTGAAAATGTCCATAGGTAGGAAGAATACTTTACATAAATCATTTTCTGATACTGCCGTTAGTTTCTGCAGTAATGGACTGTCTTAAGATAAAGGGGACACCCTGTATAATAAATTAAGTGACATTGA